GAGAGTTGTACTGCGATCAATCTTCCTCTAATGTCTTAAACAGTGTACCCAACGTCACGTTCGGGTATGACTAATATAGGAGCGCTTGTCAGTCTCTTCTTGAGTTCTTGAAATGACTGTTCACACGCTTCGTTCCATTCAAACTTTACTCCTTTTTGCGTTAGGCGTGTCATCGGCTTGGCTAATTTGGAGAAATCCTGAATGAATCTCCTATAATAACCTGCTAATCCCAAGAAACTACGAATCTCAAACGTATTCTTAGGTTGTTTCCACCCCATTACTGCTTCTACTTTAGCAGGATCCACTGATATCCCTGATTCAGATACAACATGACCTAAGAACTTTACTTCCTTCAACCAAAATTCACATTTTCTAGCTTTAGCATACAAGTGGTTTTCTCTTAGAAATTGCAAAACGGTTCTCAGATGTTGCTCGTGGTCTTCCTCCGATCGTGAGTATATCAAAATATCGTCAATGAATACTACCACAAATTGGTCTAAATAGGGGGTAAAAATTTTGTTCATTAAACTCATGAATACCCCAGGAGCATTTGTCAAACCAAATGGCATTACCACAAACTCATAGTAACCATAACGGGTTCGAAATGCAGTTTTGGGTATATCTTCTCCTCTGTCACGAAGTTGATGGTATCTCGACCTAAGATCAATTTTGGAAAAACATTTTGAACCTCTTAATTGATCGAACAAGTCATCAATTCTGGGTAAGGGATATCAATTTTTAATGGTGGCTCGATTTAGTTGTCGATAATCGATGCACAATCTTAAGGTTCCATCCTTCTTCTTCGCGAATAATGCTGGCGCTCCCCAAGGGGACGTGCTTGGTCTGATGAACTTCTTACTCAACAGTTCTTGCAACTGCTCCTTCAATTCTCGAAGTTCAGCTGGCGCCATACGATGTGGTGCTATTGAAATCGGTGAAGTCCCGGGTTGAAGCTCAATCGTGAAATCTACATCTCGTTTTGGGGGTAATCCTGGTAATTCGTCAGGAAAAACGTCAGCGTACTCACACACCACATGGGGTAATCCTGGATCCTCTCGATTTTCGTCTTCCAAAATTAGGCTTGCCAACCATCTGTTTAGTTGATCATGCCATCGCGACTTGCGACACGATGGAGTTAGAGAATCTTGTGTATCTCCTTTAAATTGAACTTTCGTGCCTTTAAGGGGGGATACTGTCACTGTCTTACAGTAACAATCAATAATGGCTCGATGAACTGACAACCAATCCATTCCTAGGATGACATCAAAATCAGACATATCCATAACTCTTAGATCACAGATCAGAAATGAATCGGAGATTTCTAGCTCACAAGATTTACATACTAGATTTACTCGGGTTTGACCTCCTAAGGGTGAAGCGACACTCATAGCTATCTCTAGCGCTTCTGGCTTTAAACCCAAACTTGTCACACATGCAGTGGATATAAAAGAATGCGAAGCTCCAGAATAATACTTTAACCCAAGAATTCATAAGGATTAACATACCTTGAATTACCATCTGTTGTATTGTTGTGCCCCTCGCTGATCCATAAAATACTCCCCACCTTGAGGACACTCACTTCGACGATGCCCCTGTTGACCACATCTGAAACATCTTCCTTTCCACTCACTTACAAAGTTTCCTCCTTGCTGGTTTCCTCGATTCTGCTTTTGTTGCTGCTGCATCCCTCCGGCATAAGGTGCTGGCGCAGGATGGTTTCTGGTGTTACGGACTGGGCCTCCTTCGCGTGGTTGGTTGTTGTTCCTTGATTGCTGATTTCGAATGCGTTCGGAATCTGCTAACTCTCGTTCCACAATTAAAGCTCGATCCACCATCTGGGCATAGGTGGAGAGTTGCACTGCGATCAATCTTCCTCTAATGTCTGTGCCCAAGCCCCATTCGAATCACCTAACCTTATCTTCTTCATTTGCTACTATGGCTAAAGCGTACCGTGAAAGAGCTTCAAAACGGTTCGCATATTGAGCGACTGACAATTTTCCTTGTTTTAGTTGGAGGAACTCTTGAATCATTTCTTGTTTTAGCGAGTTAGGAAAATACTTTTCCATGAACAGGTCTTCGAACTGTCTCCAAGTTAATGTCTCTACTTGTCGAGTACTTTTGATCATTTCCCACCAATGATCTGCTTCCCCTTCCATTTGAAATTCCGCCATGGTCACTCTATCTTGTTCATTTCGGATGTCGGAAGTATCTAGCAACTTCTTAATTTGTCTTAACCAAGCTTCAGCTTCATGGGGGTTTGATCCACCAAGGAATTTGTGGGGACGTAGCTTTTCAAATTTTGCTATCATCTCCGATTTGTTTTGATCTTGGTTTCGGGGTGGTATATTGCCTACCCTATCAGCAATCGCACGTATAATTCGAGCGACATCGCCATCAGGCACTCAATCACCATTACCGTTGTTATTATTTCTTGTTCGTCCAGCCATTCTGCATGATGGGATTTTCTTGTGATTTATTCATTTATTTATTATCATTATTATTATTATTATATTTACGTGCAAGGATAGTTAAAAAAAAAAAAAAACTTCATTAATTAGGCTAGATAAGCTACAATTAGCAAAATACAAGTAAAACATAGAAAAGATTAAATAACATACTACGGGCAGAAGATAGCCCATACAATCCGAGTTAACTCCTACACTCACAATTCTAAACTAGGCAATTTTACATGTGAGCATACAAAACAATCGGTTAGCCTAGTTTATAATTCCCTTAAGACCCCTTAAAATAGCCAAGGAAAGTCTCTCCACACCAGGGCTTCCGGCTCCCATGTGGCTTGGAAAAGTCCCATGAATCGCCACAACACCCTTACGAAGATAATAGTTTCGCACACACGATGCCCTAGCAGCAGCACTGGCTCCTCCCGATAAGTCCTCCAGTCCCTGAAATTCACTGACCCATCATTCTTCACAATTCTGCTTGGGTCGGGCATTATACACTGAAGGCTCCAAAAGTTAAAAAGGTCGCCCACCCTATCAGTGAAACCATCTGGGAAAGGGCCTAATTGATATACCCAGGGAGTCTTTTGTCCAAGAATCTGGACAGGTCCAATATAGGTACCCACCCAACTCTCAGCTTTCCAAGCACAACCTCCTAGGGGATAAAGTCTGACATATACAAAAGAGCCAATCTGCAACCCGTTTCGCACATCCCAACCCTCAAACGTGGCTCCTATATCTCTAGTGTTCTCCTCGGTATTGCCTTCCATAGACTCATCTTCAATGTCTGACTCAATCACAATAACCTCCGGGGGGTTGTATATTGGTACAACTTCTTTAACTTCATCAGACTCAGACTCAGGCTCAAGTTCAGGATCAGGTTCAGGGTCAAGCTCAAGCTCAAATTCATAGTCTTCTATAGGCATCTCCACTTCTTCACTTGGGTCAGATTCTATGGATTCATAGTCTTCTATAGGCATCTCCACTTCTTCACTTGGGTCAGATTCTATGTCATAGTTTTCCACCGAATTTTTCTCGTTAGAGTTAATGTCTGATGACCCTGACATCTTACAAATAAAAAGGTTCTAACTTAGTCAAGTCACCGCAAAACACAAATTAACGTAAGGTTTTTTTTTTTTTTTTTTTAAACAAACTTCTACCCATGGCCCAAAGGTTCAAACCTAGGCTCTGATACCAAACTGTGACGCCCCAAATTTTTATTTTATTTTATTTTTTTGAAACGTCATAAGATTTAAATAAGAATAACTTACTAGATAAAATTTTAACTACTAGTTAGGAACTTTTAAGTTCTTACAAAGCCAAAGTCCGACGACAAAATAAACTACAAGTTCACACACAACGTCACAACATAGTTTAATCCTAATACAAGGGATAACAGGATTTTATTCTGATAAAATCTTGACTCTAAGTCAGCCAAGGTTCGATATTGGCAGCTGCTCCAGTTTCAGCCCCAGTCCCTTCTTCGACATAATCTGGCATGACACGCCAGGGCAACAAAATATATGCCATGAGTTTTGCAACACAGTAAGAAAACGTAACCAACCTACCATTCCTTTTAAGAGAAAGATAATAAGATTCTAAACATGAGATAACAATATAATTGTACACATAAATTACAACCCTTAAAATAATTTCAGTAATTTTTAATAAATTAGGTGACACTCGAAATCTCACCAAAGAGATTTAACTTACCAACCACTAAGCGTGGCAACGGTTAATTTAAAACCCTCCCTTGGTCAAATATTTAAGTGTTACCAACCGTAACTACCAGGGATGCCCACGTCCGGAGTTATATACCCAAGTAGTGGCATCCGTGGTCTGCCCCAAGGAAACGGTCTGCCAGGGGTAAGTAACCTCCCTGTGTGCCACCTGCACATCCACCCTTATTCCAAAACCGAATACCGAAAAGGGTTCAAATAAGTCCTGTGCCATCTTAGAGTTTCGCAACATAATTTACGTGAGAATTCCCAAAACCAGTGCTCACCCTGAATACCCGGTATTAACCCTTCATCAATAACTCATTATATACCGTTAATCCTTTTGGTTAATTAATATACTAAACACAAATTATTCAAATCTCAATCACCAATAACGTTATACCAACTAAAGAAAAACTCCCAACATAAAATATTATGCATGTCACCCAATAATAGTTCAATGTACAAAATTTAGTATACAATTACTTAAAACCATGGTATGAACATAATAACTTAAATACAAGAAATAAACCATAAATGCACACCTGCACAAATTTTTGATTTACTAAATTAGACTAGTATAATATGAAAGTGGTGATTTTATCCTATCCAGAATTTTTTTTCAGAATATATGTCTTGCAAGTAAATTTTAAATACATTACTTATACAACTCTAAAATTCATATCAATCTACAGAATAATCCATAAACATGTTGTGGTCATTTTTCAGAAGGCATTTTCCAAAAATAAATTATAAATAATTCTTAAAAATTCCAAGGGTGTTTATGACACAGATTTGTCACATTTCCTTATATTAATTCCATGCTTAAATTTATAGATCAAACCCGTAATCTAAAAATTTATCATGAAACTAGACTTTTCAAATTTCATCTTTTAGTTAGAAATTACCAGATTTGGCTTAGTATAGAATTTTAAATAAATTTTCAAATACAAGGTAAAATCTGTCACACAGTTTCAGATTTAGTTAAAAATTTGTATAAATTCGTAGAAATCTCAAATATTGTTTCCAAAAATTTCTGGATAAACTAAACATCATTATCAACAACTTTGTAGAAGGAATCATCTCGAAATTTTGAGTATAAAATTATCTAAAAATTCGGGTAAACATACTGGCAGATTCAAACAGATTATTCTCAACACAGTTTCAGATTAAAAATTTGTATAAATTCGTAGAGAGGTCAAAAATTGTTTCCAAAAATTTCTGGACAAACTAGATATCATTATCAATAACTTTGTAGAAGAAATCATCTTGAAATTTGAGTGTAAAATTATCTAAAAATTCGGGTAAACATGCTGGCAGATTCAAACAGATTATTCTCAACACAGTTTCAGATTAAAAATTTGTATAAATTCGTAGAGAGCTCAAAAATTGTCTCCAAAAATTTCTGGATGAACTAGACATAATTATCAACAACTTTGTAGAAGAATTAATATCGAAATTTCGAGTATAAAATTGTCTAAAAATTTGGGCAAACATGCTGGCAGATTCAACGCAGTTTTAGACAGTGTATCAAATGTACATAATCTGAAAAATTTCAATTATATAAAAAAAATGAGAGGGTTGAGAGGGTTTTCTTGCTTAGTGGTAGGGTTGAAATGGAATAATGAAATGGTAGGAAAATATGCTGTTAGTAATGGGCACCCATGTGGCATGACCATTTGAATTTGAATTTGAATCTTATCCAAATAGGTTTTGAAATTGAATTCAAACCTATTTAGGATAACCACTCAGGATACAGATATTATCTCCATTAACTGATATGGATAGATAATAATAACATATTATATATCTGGTATATGGGTTATGGGTGATTAAGAGAGAAACAACGTATGATCTGAGTTTTACCCATATACTGACTTTCTCCCAAAAACAACGATCAAGTCATTTGCACTGTGATTTGTGTGGGTGATATTCATTCTGTAATATCAGTTCACTGCTGGGTTGGTTTATCAGATTCTGGAAGCACGTGATTTGTCCACGAGATCCTTCAATTCAGACTCTGTTTATAAGGTATGATCATAATTTTTATTCCGCTGCGTTATACTTTGTTTACATTGGTATCAGAGCGAGTTGATGGATATTTTCGTGTTTCCTTTAATCATGTATATATTTTTATATGTTTATGTATACATTATATACATGAATATTTGTAGAGGAGAAAAAAAATATACTTTTATCAGATTAGGAGCATTAATATTTTTTTATGTTCATTAATGTCCTTTTTTCATACCATAAATGGTTTTATTTTGGAAAAAGGAGTCCGACAGTACAAAAATTGGACCAGAAAACCCCCGGGAAGGCGGCGCGTGGTCTGCACGCGCCACCTGACGCCGTGAGCTGCTCTCAGCCCTCCGCGCCACGCACGCGCGCCGTGCTCTGAGCCGCGGGTTGAGCCGCGCACAGAGCCGCGCTCTGAGTTGCGCCGAGCCGCTTGTTGAGCCGGGCTCGCTGAGCCGCGCCGTTTTCCTCCGCCAGCTCGGTTGGCTTGGCTACTGATATATTAGGCACTGTTTGTTTTGTTTTTAATTCTGAATCACGTTAAATTGTCATAATTAATTCGTTATAGCTTTGTTTTAAGCATGGTTGGTACCGTTAGACTCAGAATTAAATTTTTTATCTTCTGTAAATTTTTGAAAA